AAGTCCTCAGGTAGGCGCAGAAAAAGGCTGCAGCAGCCGCTCCGGGCGGAAAGAATTTTGAACCGAAGGGGCTGGAGGCTTCGGCGGCAGGAAGGCTCATCTGCGGCTTGGTAGAGCTCAGGGGCCACTCTCGCTCCGGCTGGGCGGCGACACACAGGTTCACCCACGCGTGGGTGGATGCCTTCGGTTGAAACGCCACCCCAGGCTACAAGCTTGGGGAGACGGGGCGCGTCCCAAGGTATCTCAACACGTGGCTTTCCTTTCAGGGAAGCAATAAGGGCACGCAAGGTTTGTATTCACACGGCACGCTTAACCTGGCGACTGAGCCACTCCGTGGCACAAGTCCTTGAACCCTTCGTGGGCTGAGCTGGGTTTGCTCAGGGTGCCACGCAACCCCCGAACCGAAATTGAAAGGAATGAAGTGCAGGTCGGGCAAGGGCAGCTGCTAGGTCTTTACTCCAACTTGGTGGAAAGAGTTGTACGAAGACACAGACAGACAGCCACGGAGTAAGTACTTTAGGAGAGATCGGGATGAAGGGAGCCTTAGTTTCAAAGCGCCTCCTGTAGACTTTTCCCTGTAAACTTTAAGTGTGAGAAAAGCAGTCTTAAATCACTTTTTAGTGCTATTATAACTTTGAACTGTCACTAAATGAACTGTAGTAAGTCGAGGGCTACCTGTACCTTATGCTTGTAATAACATCTTAAATTATAATTAATATTGACAGAATATTTATTTCTCCTTATTACCAATGCATTAAGTTACACAAATAATAGATCAATAGTTACATAATATTGCATAAATATCATTATATCTGAACAATCTACAGTAATGTTTCAAGATTTGTAATACAGATTTATAACTATATAATATTTAGAATAAATGTACAATTTATATTACAATCATACACTTAGCCCTTGGCTTTATGACCAGTCAGTATAGATTTATTATGTTTAGTTCTGATTTGAAATACCATGATTCAGGTTCATAATTAAGAATACAATATTAAATCCATGTGTAAGAATGTACAAAAGCAGCAATGCTTTTCTTTTTTGCTTGTCAATCTTCATAAGACCATTAAGAAGAAGACTGAAAAACCTTTGGATAAAAAATTTTAAGTGATTAACTTGTGTTTAAAAACTCATTTGCTGATTATATTGTGATATATTGCAATATGCCTCAGTTATGAAATACATTTGGTATATTACTGTAAATATTGAGTCTGTCTTTTTTTCTTTGCAATTGAGTTTGAACATGGTTTATAAGAGAGATGCTCGTTGTATTGTTTTTTACTATAGAAATCCATGTGGACAGCAAGAATATACTACAATGCAAAGGTAAGGTACCCAGCATTTTTTTTTAAAAAAAAATCTAATTGACAATTAAAACTTTCTAAATTGCAAAGTAATAGGAAAAAAAGCAAAAGATTGAAACCACCCCTAAATTATGATGAATTTTTATGTTTACATGTCACGGTCATGGTCATCCTCTGAATTCAGTAACTGTTGCGGTCCAACTGCACACAAAAATTAGCATCTGGAAAGATTTGTTCACCACTGATGTTTTGGATGTCACAGATACTCACAAATGGGCTTACTAGGCTGAAATTTCTCTCTGAATTTTCTGCTGTTAATTTATTTTCTCCTTAGAGCAGGGGTGTTAAACTCAATTTCATTGAGGGCTGCATCAGGGTTGTGTTTGACCTGGAGGGGTATCTGGGGGAGGCATGGCCAGCTCAACATCACTTGTGCTGGGCTCCTGTGGTAGCCCGAGTGCTCTGCCAGTGAAAACGGTCTCCCAATCTCCGTTTTCGGCTGCGATGGCCTCCTGCAACCCTCTGCCAGCTGGCATTTTTGCTGGCAGAGGTACAGCGGGCCGGTCCTTCGCTGTTTCCAGGGTGGCCCCACGGGCCAAATCTAAATTTGTGTCCTTATTTTTTTGATAATTTACATTTTTTATTTTACGGATTTCCTAAAATAAGTTTTGCTAAGAAAATATGCATTTTCAATGAAAACATACAGTTTCCCTGAAAATAATGGAAGACCTCCCTGGATAATAAGCCCAATCTGGCTTTTGAGCGCATGTGCTAAAATAAGCCCTCTTCCCAAAATAAGCCCTTCCTGAAAATATTGCAACACAGCAGCAGCCATGAGGTGACCACGCTCACCGCCTCCCGCACCTCAAAAATAATAAGACCTCCCTGAAAATAAGTGCTTATTTCGGGGGTCAAAAGAAAATAAGACCCAATCTTATTTTTGGAGAAACATGGGCACTTAAAGTATATTTTAAAAATATGGTTAGCAAGTAAATGTATTACCTACACTTGCACATTTTTTATCATGTGGAAGTTACATTATTTTGATTTATTTATGTTTGAATTGTTTTCTATTTACAGATGAACAGCAGAACATCACTGAAAAAGATGCCCTTGGTGAAAGGTAATCTTTTCTGAGTCAGATTTTGCAGTGTTTTTTGTCTTACAACATCATAGTTATTTGTATGGCTCTATTCCAAGAAGCTTACAATGAAAATAACCATTTTAGCTAATCTAGCTAGATAATTGATTTTGTGATCAAATCAGATTTCTTTTAAAATTACAGCTATCCATCGGAGTTTCACTTTTTTCACTTTTCCCCCCATTGGATACAGGTATTTTGATTTTTGAGTACTTGAAATTGATTTGCTAATGCATGACCTTCTTTTTAAAATGCAACCCCCAAAGTGAGACTTTATAAAAACTTTGAAATCAAATCTTGCTTCAAATCAGATGTCTGAAGCCAAACAGAAAAGGTGTTTTACCTGTATTCTTAATTTCTTTTTCATTTCCTTCACATATGCTTTGTTCTTGAATTATTCCTAAATTTATTGGAAAAAAATCATCATAACCAGAAACTTCCGAATTAAATTGTACATTTGGCACTAGCTGTTGATTGAAAAAAATTGTGTCACCTTAAGGCTATGGTTCTTGCAGTATTATTTACATATTAAATACAATGGAAGAAGAATAGTGATAAATAACAGTGAGCAATAAACAAGTCAGAGAAAATAGAATTTGTACATTATTCAATAAAGATAATAATAAAAAACCATGTAAATCTTCAGAGTAAGGAAACTGTCTGTAATTCATTGCCAAATAAGGACAGGGAAAGAGTCAATATGAGGTACTGGTTAAGGTATTGGACCAAGATCATAGAGACTAATATTTAAATCCATCTTTAACCACCTTAAATCAAATCACTAAACAAATACACAAAGGAAATCATAAAAAGACTAAGAAAACCATGGTTGCATGGAGTTACGATCCTAAAAAGAGGCAATTGGCAAAGTTAAAGAGTAAAAGACTACATGTGAAACAAAATAAGAACATGGTAGAAAGAAGCATAGTTTCCAAGGACAGAAAGGTATGAAAAGTTATAATGAATTGTGTGGATATGATGTAGTTTTAACTGTAGTACTTTTTGTTTTCTTTAATTTCTTTGGCTTAATATTCCATTTGCCTTTTTGTACTCTGTATAATGCTGCTTATCATAAATGGGAATAGTATGATTGGTAGGTAGGTGGGTAGATAGATAGGTACCAAAAATGTACCTATACCGATGAAGGATATCCTTCTTATAATCAAATTAAATTATATAAGATTTGCACTAATTGTACAGTTCTTTGGCTCCTAACCACTGACATACTTAAACATACAGATGTATTTATATGAACGAGAAAGACCTACGTTTATAAAACTGGGCTACCTTTTTTTTTTTTTTGCAGGACCAGCCTATTTGATCCATCTGTGGAATACAAAATGAAACACAAGAGAAGAGGACTTGCTTTGATCTTCAATCATGAGAGGTTTTGCAAGTGCTTGGAGTTACCAGAAAGACGTGGTACTTATGCTGACCGAGATAATCTGAACCGCAGGTAAAGAAATCATTGTTGTTCGGCATATTTTCTTTTACACTGAAGAAGACAAATCCAATGACTTTTCAAAAACTACTTCCATTTTTTAAGAAATTGTGTGTGAGGGAGAAAGTATTCCATGTATGCTGAGGTAATGCAGACTTTCAGATTTTTAGGATATAGGTAAAGAATTTTGCAAGTTTTATAACAGGAATGGCTTTGACATCAGTTAGGATAGTTGTTCTTTGGCTGATTTGCAACAGATTTCTGATTCTCAGTTATTCAATAAATTAAGTCCCATCCCTTTAATTACCAGCAAAATAACTTCAATTAATATACTTACCGAAATAAATGGCAATCCTAAACTGAAGTTGACATTTTCCACCACAAAGCAAGATCAGACAGAAAAGCCTCATCTGTACAGATGGTCCTTGACTTACAACCATTCATTTAGTGACCATTTGAAGTTGCAACAGCACTGAAAAAAGTTACACGACAAATTTTCACATTTATGAGCATTGTCGCATTCCCATAGTCATGTGATCACAATTTGGATGTTTGGCATATTTATGACAGTTGAATTGTTCCCGCGGTCACCTGTTGTGACCTTCTGACAAACAAAGTCAGTAGGGAAGCCAGACTCACTTAACAACCGTCTTACTAACTTAACAGTGCAGCAATTCATTTAACAACTGTGACAAGAAAGTTCATAAAACTTGGGGCAAAACGTACTTAATGACTATTTTGCTTAGCCATGAAAATTTTGGGCTCGATATTGGTTGTAAATTGAGAACTACTTGTATTCTTTACTACAATTTTTCTCAAACTTTTTAACATTAAAATGTGTGAATTTCAACACTCAGAATTCCCCAGATAACGGGTTGGGCTGGGGAATTCTGGGAGTTGAAATCCA